CCTTTTTCCGCTTTGGTCGTTGAAGCTAGTAGGTCTTGGCGTGGGATTGGGCTGTTGGTTTCTTTTGTTTGGTCAGTTGTTGCTTCTTTGGATAAGGAGTCGGCGTTTTCGTTTCCTTCAATTCCTTGGTGTGACGGGATCCAGGTGATTATTACACGTTTGTGGTCGTTAGTAAGTTCGGTGTATGTTTCCTGAATCATTTGTATGACTTCGTTCTTTTTGTTGCTATTGATGTTTGTTATCGCGTTTATTGTAGTCAAGGAATCTGTGTAGATTACCGCTGATTGNGGTTCTATTTGTCGTAGTCCAAATTCTGTTCCATTCTTCTCTTTCCGCTTTGGTCGTTGAAGCTAGTAGGTCTTGGTGTGGAATTGGGATGTTGGTCGATTGTTGCTTCTTTGGCTTAAGGAGTCTTTATCGATTCTTCTTGCCATCGTGACCTGAAGTTTCTGCAAACGCGTTGCGTTTTCTTGTCTTTTTTTTTTTCTTGTTTCTTGTCGATCAGCTTTCGGTTTTCAAAGAACTTCGAACGTTTGTGCTTTATTTGAGAAAATGAACTACGTTCCTGAGGGATTTTTCTGGAGAAAAGGAAACGCTGTTGTTGTCGGAGAAACTATTTTGAACTTTCGAGTCTGTGTATATGATAAGAGTGGAAAAATCTTTGGAAATATTTCGTTATCATTGGAAAAAATATCCCCGTCAATGTGATTCGAGATTGCGGATTTTCTTTCTTTACAAATGATTTCTGTGTTTAGATCAGTGGTTCCCAATCCAGTGGTTTTTGGTCATGTCTCACTCTAAGCATCTCTAAAATCTTTGAATCTTTGTGTCGAATAATTCTTATCATTCGAAAAGAAGCCTAAAAGGCCACTAAGCTTCCAAAGAACGTGAAAGAAAAAAATTAAAAAATTAAAAAATTAAATTTCCATTTGAAGAAATGCAAAGAATTCACTGTTAATAACTCATTGTCGAATTACTTCCCTAGAAAATCAAATTGCCCCACATTTAGAACATGCGTTTAGACAGAGACATTTTCATTTATTAATTTTCATTTATTAAATAATTTTATATGATTCGTATTTATATTAAATAATTTTATATGGTTTATATTTATATTAAATATTTTTATGATTTATATTTATATTAAATAATTTTATACGATTTATATTTATATTAAATGATTCTATACGATTTATATTTATATTAAATAATTCTATACGATTTATATTTATATTAAATAATTTTAGATGATTTATATTTATATTAAACAATTCTATACGATTTATATTTACATTAAATAATTTTGTATGATTTATACTTATATTAAATAATTTTATACGATTTACACTTACATTAAATAATTTTGTATGATTTATACTTATATTAAATAATTTTAGATGATTTATATTTATATTAAATAATTTTGTATGATTTATATTTATATTAAATAATTCTATACGATTTACATTTATATTAAATAATTTTAGATGATTTATATTTATATTAAATAACTTTTTACGACTTATATAATTTAAAAAAAATAAAATATTGATGAAGCAAGCAGATGAGCCGAACACGATATTTTTTTATTATTCTAGATTATGGTGGAAAGTCGAGAAATATATAATTCGCGAAGTAAAATTCGCACAGGGTGAAATTTCATTCGTTTGAATCCGAAAAGAAAACTCGTAAATTTCATACCTTCGTTTCGAGTGCAAGATCGTCCTTTTGTGTCGAAAATAATTACTGAACGAATAAAATATTCGTTTATACGCAATACGTACGTGACGTTTGAAATTTATTTTCGTTGCGCTCCGCGATAAATGATTTTCGATCGTTTCTGTCCGCGATTTCTTTCCAGGCACATCCTTCAGATATCGCGACACATTTTCTGCTTATCAGAGATATTTCCGCGAGCATGCGTTTCAGATATCGTACGCGAGCAGGTTTCTCTCTTTCTCTTTCTTTGTAAACCAGTTCGATTTCGTCGCGTCGTTTGCAGAGATACGTGCGCACGTGTATTTCATACTCCTTGATCTTTGAACCGTGAAAAATCAAATTGCAGAGAAGAATCAGAGAATTATCAGAGAATAGATTTTTCGCAGGGAACGTTTCACTCTTGCATTCGTTACTGCGTGGTTTCTGATCAGAAATTTCATTTGTTTTTGAAAAGAATCTATCGTCTTAAATTAATTTTTATAATAAAGTGACTATAATAATGAAGTGTTAGAGAGTTAGATACGTTAAAATACTTACGAAAATATTATTTGAATATAAAAAAACTAATTATATATATATATATATATATATATATATATATATATATATATAATTATATGTATCTAAATATTATTTAGATATAAAATATAAGTTGAGTGTTAGATACGTTAAAAAAATATTATTAAATGCTGCTTATAAAAATATTATTAAAAAAAATATAGAATACTAGATAAAATATTAAAATGTTAAAATATAAAAATATCGTTTGGATATAAAATATTAAGTAAAATATTAAAATATTAAAATACAGAAATATTATTTAGACGTAAAATATAATTAAAATATTAAATATTAAATAAAATATTAAAATACAAAAATATTATTTAGATATATGAAATATAATTAAAATATTAAATATTAAATAAAATATTAAAATACAAAAATATTATTTAGATATATGAAATATAATAAGATAATTACATATTATAAGATAATTAATGACCAACAAGATTTTGTAGTTTAGTAGGAGAATATTTTTGATGAAAGTCAGAGTCGTTAGCAAAGAATCCTTTAAACAACAGTTTTTGCTATTTGTATGTGTGGTTGAGTTTATAATTATTAACGACATTGTGTACGTATATATTGTATATGTATACGTATATATTATAATAAAATTTATCTATGAACGTTTGTAGTATTAACATTGTTTAATTGCTTTTTGCAAAGAAGAATAATTTGTAATCTAAGTAATTAATCTTAATAGTTTGTAATCTAAAATCTGAAATTTATTTACGAAAATTCTATTCATTTTTAAAATATATGCTGTTATGTTTACACAGTGATTTCTTTTCTATATTTCTGAGACCAAACTATTTCTTTGGATTTTTATTATATTTTTATTATACTAATCATGCTGTTACATATATACTTATGTAGAAGATATATATATATATATATATATATATATATATATAAATATTGCAAATAAAAATAAAATATTAAATATTAAATAAAATATTAAAGTACGAAAATATCATTTAGATATAAAATATAATTGAAATATAAAATATTAAAGTATAAGAATATTGTTTAGGTATAAAATATAATATTAAATGAAATATTAAGATACGAAAATATTATTTAGATATAAAATACAATTAAAATGCAAAGTTTATCCATTTATCTAACATCAGGAACCCAAAACTTAAGAAAATGAAAAGGATTATCATAAATCGGCCGACGAACGAATGTCGTCACGTTTTTGTAAAACAAGATAAAAAGGGCGAGAAAAACATCTTGTCGCCCGGGAGTATGGTTTCGAGGAAACATAGTGAAACAATGCATCACAAAGATTGTCGAGCGCGTGCAAGGTGTATCGTAAACACTCTGGCACCGTTTCAAAATTGAAATTGTAGCCAGCGTTCGGTTCCTACACCGCTCACGCGCATTATCAACTATCCTGGTATCGCTCCAGGAAGCTCGTAAAACATAATATAACGTTCGGAAATGATAAATAACATCTATCAGGGGGAGGGGTCGTGGCAGCGAAATCTATTACAAAATTAATGGGAACATCGAACGGAGGTCGCTGTTTGACCATCCGAGAATTTTCATTCTGAAGCGTAATCGTTGATAATCGTTAATAATCTCTGTTCCATCGGACAGAGACGAACGAAATTTAAAAAAATATTTTTCTAGTATTAAACTATTTATTATGATATTATTTATTATTATTTATTATTATATTACTATGTATTACTATTTATTACCATTAAATATTTTTTTAAACTATTATTTATTATGTGGTCAGATATTTTAAATAGAATAGACCCATATGAGATCAGACATTCTTAATCGGAATAGATCCGTATCTAGTCAGACATCTTTAAGTAGAATAAGTCAGTATGTGGTCAGATATTTTAAATAGAATAGACCCATATGAGGTCAGACGTTCTTAATCAGAATAGATCCGTATGTAGTCAGACATCCTTAAGTAGAATAGCTACGTATGTAGTCAGATATCCTTAAGTAGAATAGCTACGTATGTCGTCAATCATTCCAAGTAGCATTGGCCAGTTTGTAATCAGACATTCCAAGTAGAATATACCGTCCGTGTACGTTTTGTCTCACGATTGTAGAGAAATTTCATTCTACATTTCTACTTGATTTTCCACTTGTGGTATAGAATTAGCTAAATTCAAGCACGCTGGAATAAATTCTCGGACTTGATTTTTGTCGAAAGCGTAGCCTCGTACGAGGAAAAATTTTCATTCTCTTTTTTCTTTTTTTTTTTCGTTCTTCTATTTTTACACCGATTTCGACAACACGAAATTTATACAACGCAGAAACAAGTGAAAATTGATCGTCAACACTCGCTGAAAAGGCGATTTCACCGGCGATAGAAAGTTCAACGTGGAGATTTTTTTTTTTTTTTGCGATTCAATGGCGAAAAACGATTTAAACCGCAGCCACGGAAGATTCGAGAATAACAGCCACAGCCGATAGAATTGCGTTTCGCGTATTAAACGCTCGAAATTGTTCACCCTTCCGCCCCTTTCCCGGCCGAACCGCTCGTAGCAGCTCGTTCGAAAGCCAAACTGCTGCCTGTTTGTCCTTCTGCGTGAGAGACAGATCGGCCATTCTCTGGAAAAAAAAAAAATCGCGTTAAACCAGCCCGAGCCTTTTATCGACGATCCTCGTTCGATTCAACGAATTTTTCCTCCCGAGAATGTATAATCACGGCCGGATTGATGAATTCTTACTCTCTTACTCTGTTGCAGGATGCTCAGGAAATCCGGATGCGAAGCGATTGTACGACGACCTCCTGTCGAATTACAACAAGCTGGTTCGTCCAGTGGTCAACGTCACAGACGCCCTCACCGTTAAAATCAAGCTCAAACTCTCGCAGTTGATCGATGTTGTGAGTGTCGTGTCCCCTCTTTGACAATAATCCGCGTTGCACGCGGAAAGGAGTTCGCTGCATCTGTCTTTGGATTTTTTGAATTTTTTTGGAAGTATAGAGTCGAAATATTCATCACTTGCTGCTGAAAGTAAGAGCACGGATTTGCGAACGCTTTGGCGAACGGGTTTGAGAGAAATAATTTTTAAAACATAATGAAAAAATCGTGTTTGAACTTGAATTTAATTTAATTGAATTTAAAGTTGGTAAATTTTGATGTTTCATTTAAAAAAAAAAAAAAAAAAAGAAATTGATGAAAAAACTTTTGGAAAAAGCCCTATATAAATCGTCACATTTGCAAAACACTGTGTTTTGATTTTTTAATTGGAGGAGGGTTCTTTGATTTTTTTAATTGGAGATTGTTAGACGTATCTTATCAGCCAGAAACATTCTGATGAAAATTTGAAAATTGAGAATTCAACGATTATATCGGATAAAATTCGATTATTATATACTCGAGCGATTATATATGTATTTCACTTGAGTGGAAGCTTTCAAATGCAAAAAGAAATTTATTATTTATTTATTATAACATTTGATATTTATTATTGTTAATTTGTCACTATTAATATTTGATATTTATTATCTTATTATTGAATATTTATAATATTTAATGTTATATATTTATTTATTTATAATTCGCTCATATGTGGATATATTACATAGTTACACCTCCCCTAGATTACTATTACATATTTCATAACCATAATTCTTCTTCTTGTTTCATTGCAGAATCTCAAAAATCAAATCATGACGACGAACCTCTGGGTCGAACAGGTACGTGTACATATTTCACAACGATCTCTTATATAAATACATAGATGTTATAAATCCTATAACATATTTCGCTACTGTTTGAAATTCTATTTAAAAAATATATATATATATATCTTTTTAAGACTGACAGTTTACACGATACGATTTTTTGACCGATTCAGTTGTTTACTGACTCAGCAAGAGCCTTCGCACATGTGTGTATTTTCGCCACTCGTTCGAACGAATGAATTCGTCGATTCAGTATAGTGTAACAACAGCTTTTACTGTAATGGCTTATTCACGCCACAAAAAATCACTTGTCGACTCAAGTATTTGTTTATTTAGAAAGTAATGTACACTTCTGTACATTTCATACACGTGTGTATAAAATTAATATATATTACTATAATATATAAAATTACTATAAATATTAATTAAAAATTACTATAATTAATGTACTGTTAATTAAAAATGTACTATAAATTAAAAATTACTACAATTAGTGCACTATAAATTAAAAATGTACTATTAATTACTACAATTAGTGCACTATAAATTAAAAATGTACTATTAATTAAAAATTACCATAATTAATGCACTATACATTAAAAAATGTACTATTAATTAAAAATTACTACAATTAGTGCACTATAAATTAAAAATGTACTATTAATTAAAAATTACTACAATCAGTGCACTATAAATTAAAAATGTACTATTAATTAAAAATTACTACAATCAGTGCACTATAAATTAAAAATGTACTATTAATTAAAAATTACCATAATTAATGCACCATACATTAAAAAATGTACTATTAATTAAAAATTACTATAATTAGTGCACTATAAATTAAGAATGTACTGTTAATTAAAAATTACTATAATTAATATATCCGTAATAAAATTACGGATTCGACGTTCTAGTTTTGTCAACCAAATCGATCTATTCGCGTTCTCTTTAAAAAAGAGTCAGTCACACGAGTGCAGAAGAGGCAACGTAATTTTGTGAAATTTTCTTGTCTCGTTCGTCGTCAGATCGATCGAATCGTTATCGAGTCGACGTGAACTGGCTGCAAGTTTCATTTTTTGGTAATCTTTGGCCCGAGTCGCGGCAAGCCGAGCATTGTCTCGCGCGAACGTTGGAAACGCGCGTGTACGTGCGGACAGCCCGGTGAAAACGAAAATCGGCCAGCGAGCTTCCACTCGAGAGTCGCGAAAATAAGTCTGGTGAACCGTGCAACCCACTTTCGAACGGTAGATTACGTAAGACAGATTCGCATCCGTTTCCGTGCATCCATTTCGTCCTCTCTCTCTCTCTCTCTCTTTCTCTCCCTTTCTTTTCTCCTCTTTTTTCATCGTTATCTCCCACGAAATTAGCGATAGCGGGCAAAGTTTTCCAACGAACAGCGAAAAGATTGATTCTTCTTCTTCTTCTTCTTCTTCTTCTTCTTCCTTTTTTTTCTTTTTCCTCTGTCTTCCCGTTCCACGTTCAATTGTTACAGGTGATTTAAAAGGGTCGGATTTCTGAAAGGTAGTTTGCTCGCTTGCGCGTTGAAATGATAAAATTTTCCCTGCGAATGGGGGTTACTTAGGTTTAATCGAACTTCCCAGAAGATATCACGAGCTCGGTGGCTTAAAGTTCTAGTCAGTTGACAGATGCACCGAAAGTTTGCAATTGGTACTTACGATTTGTTAAATTTTTTAGTTAATTAAAAGTAAAGTTAAATTTATTTTTTAGTTTAGTGAAATTTATTTTTTCGTTTGGAGTGGAGTTATTAATTTATTTATTTGAAGTTAATATACGTACAATTACGTTTGTAATTGTGTATAATAATTATTATGTATTGTGATTATACAATTGTATATTCTTGTTCTAGAGAAATTCTGAAACAACGTATAATTATTAGCGGATTTCTATTCAAATTCATAATTTTTTTATAGAAAATTTTTGAAACCAGAATTGCACGATATAAAACAACATACAAGATAATTCACATAAAATATTCTCTTCCAATTCTTTTAGTTATATTCTCAAATATACAGATTTCTACAAAAATCTGCAAAATAAATGGATGTGTCTGTAAAATAATAATAAACTAAGAGAGATGAAGATGAATAAAAATAAGCAGAAATTGGAAGTGATGGTTCAGTCAAAAATATAAAAAAAAAAGACAAACTATTCAAAGTTCACGTAAAACAATTCTTTACCATTTTTTCCAACCGATATTCTCAAACTCACAAATTTCACCAACGGTATAAAACGCTGGGAGGGACGAAAATGAATAAAAATAAGCAAAAATCGATGGTGATCGTTCAATCAAAAACACACACACACAAAAAAGGCACACAAAACATCCAAAATTCACGTGAAACAATTCTTCCAACTTGCACTCTCGAAAACACAAATTTCCACATAGCACAAAATCGTCCAACGGGATAAAACACCAGGAGGGATGAAAATGAATAAAAATAAGCAGAAATCGGAGGTGATAATTCGGTCAGAAATATAAAAAAAAAAGACATAAAATATTCAAAATTCAATTCTTCCAACTTGCACTCTCGAGAGCACAAATTTCCACATAGCACAAAATTGACATGATGAATCGTCCAACAGGACAAAACACCAAAAGGGATGAAAATGAACAAAAATAAGTAGAAATCGGAGGTGATGGTTCGGTCAAAAATATAAAAAAAAAAAGATATATAAAACATTCAAAATTCAATTTTTCCAACTTGCACTCTAGAAAACACAAATTTCCACAAAGCACAAAATCGGCATGATGAATCGTCCAACAGGACAAAACACCAAAGGGGATGAAAATGAACAAAAATAAGTAGAAATCGGAGGTGATAGTTCGGTCAAAAATATAAAAAAAAAAAGACATATAAAACATTCAAAATTCAATTCTTCTAGCTTGCACTCTCGAAAACACAAATTTCCACAAAGCACAAAATCGGCATGATGAATCGTCCAACAGGACAAAACACCAAAGGGGATGAAAATGAACAAAAATAAGTAGAAATCGGAGGTGATGATTCGGTCAAAAATATAAAAAAAAAAAAGACACATAAAACATTCAAAATTCAATTCTTCCAACTTGCACTCTCCAAAAACACAAATTTCCACAAAATCGACATGATGAAACGGGATAAAATCACCAGGGGGGTGGGGGATGAAAACAAACGAAGCACCGAGCAGAAATCGGGAGATGTAAAATATCCGTTCAGTCGGATATTTTATAACACGAAACACAATCGAGCGTGAGCGTGGTGTGTTTACCTTCGCTTTCACGCTCGTCCATTTTTGACGCTCAATTTCCCTTAAATTGAATCGGCGATTGCCCAACGAATGAATCGTACCGCTCGATGGACGACGAGGTTGATGGGATATCCGCGGCTCTCGGTGGTACTTGTGGTGGCCCATTAATCTGTTAGACAGCGTCGCCAGGTAACGGCCTCGTGAGTACATAAAGACCAAGAGCACCGCCGACGTACATAATCTGTTCAAATATTGGCGGCCCGTCGAGGCTCGACGCATATATTAATGGCAGCGCGCGAAAGGAGTTTGCGGTGCCCCGTCGAATTTCGGCACGACTTTCAGTTTACCCTCGAAACCGCCGTTTCTGCGATCGATCTCGTCGCAAATTCCAGTGCAAAGCTACTTCAGCGGGCGGAGGGAGCGGGAGGAAGGGGGAGGGGAGGGGATCACCGCGTAAATTTGCATTTACGGTGACTCGCGATTGTCATATTATTTTTGTAGTAATTTGTCCTTGTCTGATAATAATCTGAGATGGTGATAATAGTAATCGTGGAATAATAATACAATAATAATGATAGTAATAATCTTGAAATAACAATAGAATAATAACAGTCTTGAAATAACAATATAATAACAGTAGCCTTGAAATAACAATAATAATAATAATTTTGAAATAACAATATAATAATAGTAGTCTTGAAATAACAATAATAATAATAATAATAATAATTTTGAAATAACAATATAATAATAATAATTTTGAAATAAGAATATAATAATAATAGTCTTGAAATAACAATATAATAAAAGTAGTCTTGAAATAACAATATAATGATAATACTAATAATCTTGAACTAATAACATAGTAATAATAATCTTGAAATAATAATATAATAATAATAGTCTTGAAATAATAATATAATAATAATAATGTTGAAATAACAATATAATAATAATAGTCTTGAAATAATAATATAATAATAATAATGTTAAAATAACAATATAATAATAATAGTCTTGAAATAACAATAATAATAATAATTTTGAAAGAACAATATAATAATGGTAGTTTTGAAATAACAATATAATAATAATAATTTTAAAATAACAATATAATGATAATAATAATCTTGAAATAATAATATAGTAATAATAATCTTGAAATAACAATATAATAATAATAGTCTTGAAATAATAATATAATAATAATGTTGAAAATAACAATATAATAATAATAGTCTTGAAATAATAATATAATAATAATAATAATGTTGAAATAACAATATAATAATAGTAGTCTTGAAATAACAATAATAATAATAATTTTGAAATAAGAATATAACAATAATAGTCTTGAAATAACAATATAATAATAGTAGTCTTGAAATAAGAATATAATGATAATACTAATAATCTTGAACTAATAGTAATAATAATCTTGAAATAACAGTATAATAATAATAGTCTTGAAATAATAATAGAATAATAATAATGTTGAAATAACAATATAATAATAATAGTCTTGAAATAATAATATAATAATAATAATGTTGAAATAACAATATAATAATAATAGTCTTGAAATAACAATATAATAATAATGTTGAAATAACAATAACATTCGATTTAATAAGTTATTTGATTATTCAATTACCGCAAGTAAGTAAAAATGAGCTACGTGTTTTTCTTCCCAGACCCGTTGTCCCACGTTTAAAAGCCCACGATATCAACTTTAAAGGTAGCTTACGGAACGCCATTAAACTGCGAAGCAGCGGACGAGTATCGAGAAACGGCGGAGAAGAGTGTATTTATCTGTCGATAATGTCCGTGATGTTTCCCCACGTGGCACAAGGCATTTAGGGGCTTTAGGTAACTTGCAGGGGAGGCAGACAAGTTGGAAAGATTTAACGTTCTGTCGAGCAGGCACGATGTAGAATAAGGAGCTTGAGGAATTAAGTGGAATCAGATAATATAGGTCAGACGTTCAGTGATCAGACGTCGCATCGGTCAGGCACACGGTTCTCGTTCACCTCTGTCGCCATTCATTGTTAATTTCGTTGTATTTCTGTTCCGTTTGAACATCACGTGGCTTCTCCGTTTCTTGTCAAATATCTTGTTGAATTTACCTTCGCTTGCAATCCTTGCACATCTTCTGCACATCTGGCGAACCCCGAGCTGTTGATAATAATTTTTGAATGCGATTTATTTTCACTAACCGTTATAATTTTGTATAATCGTATGATTCTATCGCAAGTCTAATTATTTTTATTTTGTATAAATATCTTAATTATTTAATTTTGTATAATTGTATGATTATGTCTCATTTTTGTTTAATTATTTTTATTTTTCGTTGTACATGCATATGCAATTTTTCTGTGATATGTAATAATTTAATAATGAGATATATACATTGCATTCAAATATTATATATATGATAATATTAATTTTTTATTAATTAAATATTCCGCATGCATCTTTTTTATCACGTCCTTCATTTTCGGATGATTTAGATTTATTGTGAACAGTACTTTAATTACTTATTCAATTTGTAGCTAATACTCTAGCATAAAAATTCACTCGGTCCTGAACTGCTCGATAGTGTTTATTGCGTTCTGTCGCTCACACACTCAATGATAAAAAGTAATGAGATATAATTATTAACGTGCATGTATTAAAATACATTGAATCATTTTAATTTAGTCAAATTTAATTAAAGTGATTTAATCATTTTTATCAATTCAGTTAAATATAATTAAAATAGTTTAATAATTTTTATTAATTCAATTCAGTTATATTTAATTATAGCAGTTTAACAATATAATTTAATTGAAATAATTTAATAAAATTATTCAAATTCGATTCAGGCTTTTCAAATTTACCAACAGCAGAAAGAAGAACGTCGAAATTGTGAGCGACAGAAACTTGTCAACGTCGAAATTGCGCGCGAAGTAATTTTTTTTATCAGACACACTGTACTCGTAAAACAAACAAGAAGAAAGCGCGTACAAAGCGAAAGAATTTTGCGGAACAATTTTTTTCCAAATCCATCGGTACATTTTGTTCCTCGTATTTCCTTCGTATTTTCATGTCGCGCTGTTTCTTTCCTCTTTTTTTTTTTTTTCTCACAAATGAGGTATTCGAAGAAAGCTTCCCCCGGTTCGTGTTAATTAACATTCTCTCGCATGCTCTCTGCGATCCACCCTCTCTGTCAATTAGGACGACGTACAATTCCATACAATCGCTCTTGCCCTTCCTATCGTTCCCTCATTATGCTTTTTTCCCCCTCTCTCTCTGACGCAGAGATACGCGAGACATTTCGCAAACGTTGGGAATATATATTTTCACTCGCGGCTCGAAAACAATTTTCCGACTCGTGTAATAACGCTTGCCCGTGTCCGACCGATCGAATGAGACTTTTCTTTCTCAAACAGGCAGATTTACGCAGTTACGATCTTTAGATTTGCATTATTTTTGGAATTTTTGGATCACGAGTTCTTGCATCTTCTATATGAATGAAGCTGTTTCTTATGAGAAACTGAGCTTTTTCATTTGCACATGGACGTTACTTTCTGTCCAACCTGACACGTTTCCTTAAACGCTGGTTAACTGATTGCGGACCGTAACGAGCGACCAAACCGTACAACAATAATTCGTCGCTTTCCTTTTGAACTCGTCGATATGATAGAAATTATCGAGAAGTAATAAATTTATTGTTTGTTTTGCCTACTTAAATATACTTAGAACTGAGAAACTATGGAAATTTTGGAACAAAAACATTCTCGACGAGCGTGGCACTGATTGCGGACCATAACGAGTGACCAAACCGTACAACAATAATTCGTCGCCTTCCTTTTGAACTCGTCGGCATGATAGAAATTATATTGGATAGAAATTACTGAGAAGTAATAAATTTATTGTTTCTTTTGCCTTTGTTTATACCTAAATATACTTAAAACAGAAAAGATTGTGCAATTTGGGAGAAAAAAAATTCTGAACGTGCGTGGCACGTCATTCCACCGCAAGAGGTTAGCCACTGATTGCGGACCATAACGAGTGACCAAACCGTATACAGTAATTCGTCGCTTTCCTTTTGAACTATCGTCGCTATGATAGAAATTATCGAGAACTAATAAATTTATTGTTTGTTTTGCCTACTTAAATATTCTTAGAACTGAGAAAATATGGCAATTTTGGGACAAAAAAATTCTCGACGAGCACGTCATTTCAGCGGAAGAGATTGACAGGAAGAGTCCAACATTTTCACCCTGGGGGTTCCATTCGCGGTAATAGTCAGAATGCTAATTTGTCATTTGTCATTCGGACGTACAACATGTCTTGAATCTTCGTTCGTGAAGCTTCATTAGGGGCGATGCTGGAATTTTTTTCCTTCGTCACGTTCCGTCCAGCGCGACATCCGGCAAATAACAAACGCGCGGAAACCTGGAAACGTTTCGCCCCGTTTCGGGGGTACAAAACCCATCAGCGCGTTTTATCGTTCCGTTTCGTTTTAATTAATTTCATCCGGGGATCTGATCCGGCGGGGAGGCCGACAGACGTCAAAACTGTTCAACGTCGCCTGAACGAAGTAAGCCTGCTGCTGGTGGCAGGCGGAGCTCACCGATCCGCGGGAAACAATCCGTCGTGGAAACGTGGCTGAAAAGAACAAACGGCCGCGCGATAATCGGGCCGCGCACGCGAACGATACGGGAAACACATTTCTGGGACACGTTCCCCCTCCTCAACCAGCCCTAACCGCTTCTGTAATTTGCCCCTCGAATATTTTTAGACCCTCGTTGCGCTTAATTTCATCGTGCTCTCTCTCTCTCTCTCTCTCTCTATCTTTCTCCTCTCTTCTTTCATCAAGAATCTTTATTCGGGTCTGATGGGATTTGAGACGCTTTGAATCACGTTGAATCTGTAAATGTATTCAGACAGAGGTGGTTCAATAAGAACTAGCGTTTGAATATCTTCGTTGTTTTTCGGGAGATGTAAAATATTTTACAATATACATAGTACATATATATACATATATATATATATATAAAATATTCAAATCAGTATATATAGATTACTATTAATGGTATAGTATCGTATAATAATATTAATCTCTATATAGTATATTATAGTACAATAGTAAAATATTTTACAATATGTATAGTATAATATTATTATATATATATATATAATATTAATCAGTATATGTAATATATTATATCAATATATTACATATACTGTAACTATATTATATCAATATATTGATACCTATACTATACTATATACTATATACTATATATCAATATATTACTATATATATATATACTATATACTATATATATTAATGTACTGTGTATCATATATAAGTATAGTCAATACATATAGTATAGTAGTATATTATATATATAATATAATATTATATAGTATAGTATAATATAGTATACTATAGTATTACTATATATATATACTATATACTATATATATTTATTAATGTACTGTGTATCATATATAAGTATAGTCAATACATATAGTATAGTAGTATATTATATATATATAATATAATATTATATAGTATAGTATAATATAGTATACTATAGTATTACTATATATATATACTATATACTATATATATTTATTAATGTATTGTGTGTCATATATAAGTATAGTCAATACATATAGTACAGTAGTATATTATATATATAATATAATATTATATAGTATAGTATAATATAGTATATCATATACAAATACAGTCAATACATATAGTACAATATAGCATTATATATATATATATATATATATATATATATATATAAAATAGTGTAAAATAGTAATATATTATTATATACTACACAAAATAACAGCTCACTTTGAAAGCTGATTGTAAGTCTCAAAGCTTTCATTTGAAATCGCTCGAACATCGAACGGACGAGATCAGTCTTAAAAAACTGAGCTTTTCGTGGTTAAGTTGCGAAGCCTACAGTACTCAAGGCTATCGTATCATTACTTTTGCACGAATTCGAATGAATGTCGTTCCTTCTGTTTCGTAAAATCTGATTGATTATACGTTTTATTGTTGCAGTCATGGTACGATTACAAGTTAAAATGGGATCCAAAGGAATATGGTGGGGTGGAGATGTTGCACGTGCCATCCGATCATATATGGAGGCCCGATATAGTTTTGTACAACAAGTAAGACCGTCTTTTCATCACCGTTTGAATATTACGTTAATATCTAGTGCCGTTCCTCTTAATGGGTCTAACTTCGGCGTGAGAGCGTAAGAGACCATCCAGAATTACGTTGGCGAACTGCCAGCAGTAATCTCCGAGTTTTGGAATTTTCATAACTGGACAAACTCGATTTATCCTCCGCCCGTCCCTTGCGAAATTCTACTCCCTTGCTGTACCATTGGCCAATGTTCGACGAATATTTAATATCGAGTAATTGCCAAAAATTCGCAGACCTTCTTGTACTGTCGGATGGAAGAAGAAATCTTAAATGTCCCTCGTAGTATTTAAAAACTTTCGTTCTATTTCTTGATCATTTCTTAATAATATTCCGTAGTGATTTGTTAATAATTAACGTGATCTGATTGTGAGTTACGTATTGGTATCCAAACAGTACAATTTTTAGGAGTGGAGAGACAAAATTTCTCGAATCTGGTAAATCAACCCACCGTGTTAATAAACATGTTATCGCACTATTTACAGGAAAACCGAGTCCTCCCTCTGTGTCTGCGGTTAATTTTTTGGCTGTTCCGGACTTTCAAACGATGTAAAAATGCCGTCGGTTAATGAAATTTTCACTGAACTTTCAAATTTTTTAAAGATCTCTCGGCGCGAATGAAAATTCGCTTTGAAGAAATTCACGTGTAAACTACAAAGGACGTGGAGGGTGAAAAATTCGATAAAAACTCCGTTATTAACTCCCGTTTGTAATTTCCACTAAGTATGCAACTTTGAAAATGTTCGAAGAACAGTCCCCATCGAAAAAGTCTCGCGAGAGAAAAGAAAAGAAATAACGATTGATTGGTTATTCGAACAAAAGGAGAAAAATTGGTTTGTTTGAAGTTGTTTGAACAAAAGGAAAGAAATAACGATTGATCGATTCGTTTGAATTCGGACAATAGAAAAGAAATGACGATTGATTGATTTGTTTGAATTCGAACGAAAGAAGAAAATAACGATTAATTGGTTTGTTTGAAGTTGTTTGAACAAAAGGAAAGAAATAACGATTGATTGATTTGTTTGAATTTCGAACAGTGCCGACGGTAATTTCGAGGTGACGCTGGCAACGAAGGCGACGCTGAATTACACAGGGAGGGTCGAATGGAAGCCACCGGCCATATACAAGTCTTCCTGCGAGATCGACGTAGAATATTTTCCCTTCGACGAGCAGACGTGCGTCATGAAGTTCGGCTCGTGGACTTACGATGGCTTCCAGGTAACGATCTTCCTCCAACGACGTCCTCTCCATAGTTTCTCTTGTGGAGAGTTCGTCTTTACGCATGGCACGACCAGCCGCTGGGAAAAAAATAAAAATTCGTAGGGAAGACGGGAAGGGAAAACTTTTTGATAAAATTTATGCTAAGAATGCGTGATTAGGAACAATGAGAGTTTTCTCTCGTCGTACAGTTTGCACTTTTTTTTAGACCGCGATTATATTTTTAAGGATTGAAAGATATCGTTGGTTCAAGAAAATGATTGATCGTGAGCAGTTATGGAATTACAGAAATTACATATCTTTTTTTTTTGAATATGTTAGTTGCAATTGTCTTTATTCTATTTTATTATTAAAAAAAAATATAAAATTTTTTAATTCTACTTTCAAGAATTAAAAAAAACATTGTTGATTTAAGAGAAATATTGATTGTGAACGAAAACTGTGCAGAATTATAAAATCTATACCATAAACAATTAACAACAAACCTTCTTTCAATTTTAATAGCTTTCTTTCAGTTTCACATTCTTGAAATTTAATTCATTCTATACAAAAAAAAAAGGAAAGAGAAATCAATGGAAGATCTTTAGCCGAAATTTCGACATCTTGCGCGATGCTGTTTCCAATGTTTGTAATACCGAGTACACTCTTTCTCAATTGAAGTTGAACGAAGTAACGTTATTATCTCTGTGATAAACCTTCGTCAATCTCTTCGTGCAATCTTGTTGTGCAATTTTCGATTATTACGAAGATGAAAGAGCGAAGGGAAGATTTTTGTAAACGATCGTGAAGTGCCCGCGTGGTTTCGTGTGCGGTCAGTGCGGTCGAGCACGCGGAATTTGATCAAGAAAGTGTTAATTAACGCGACGAGCGAGTCGAGTTTCGTGAAAGATTTGTTTATTTGCATGTTATCGCGCGCCTCGTACGAAAAGCTCGGTTTGGCTTATCACTATTCATGAGAACCCGGTGCGCCGCGGTCACGGATGTGCGCCGAGCGAAACGCACATAAATTTCCAATGATTAATACGTAGCACTTCATCCACGGTATGACACACGGAATTGTTTATTACACGCCAGTGCCGGCGTCGCCGCTCTCCACGCCGATTACTTCCTCGATCGGTCAGGTTCCTCCCAGTTTTTCTTTGGCTCGATATCAACGAAACGCAAACAGCAGTTGTTGAAACGGTTGGGAAACATCGGGAGCAGTGTCGTGATTTATGGCATGGGCCGGCGGTTTCCTGCTATTTTTGAAGAGAAAGCCTAGCAAGAGGACACTCTGCTAGCTCGTTAGAAGTGAAGGAAGTTAGTGATTAGTGCGTGTATCTCACGATCGGTAGCGTGCGCTAGTTACAAGTGGTGGCGAACTGGCGGCCGTGCCCCCACTCTCTTCATCCCCTCCACTGCGTCGATCTCTCCGCTTCAGCTGCTGAAGGCGAACTTCTTCCTGAAGTTTCTGTCTAAGAAGAAGAGAAATCGAATTCGATTGACACGTGAAATTTTCAGGGGAGGATTCTTCATGTTCCTTGTGAACTGCAGCACGAAGAAAATTGTTCAACGCTTCTGTGTACACATTATATGACATAAAAAAAATTTATAATCATAAATTTTCATTCGTTTCACCAGTGCTGTAACATATCTTAGAATAAAATGAACGGCGGACTAGAGACTTCGTAAGCTTCACAACGTAAGCCCAGAATTTATCGTCGTAACGAAATTGTCACATCGCAAGTGTCGACAACTATGGTTACTACAGGGTTAAAAATGACTAATATCCGTACTAATATCGTCGACCTGTCGGAGAATGTTCTCTCAACAAACGAGAATTTATTCGTCACGCATTTTACGGTGAAATTTCGAGAAGCACGCTGATAGATCGTTGACCACTATTCTGCGTGTAGTTTCTATCGTCGCGTTAAATTTCAGCTTGACGTCGGACCGAATTAAAAATTAAAGGGACTTTGTCGACGTTGAATTCGAGACTGTCGTTCTAGAAAATCATCGAGCTCATCGTACGGAAGAGCAATTCACGTGTAACGAAGCCACAAGTGGGCAGGGCCAGATCGTTTCGCGTTACTATTCCCGGACGATTGTCGTGCATGCGGCACAAGTAGTATCGCGTAAAATATCTATACCGGTCGATGAATAATGCATATCGTGTGTGTGTGTGTGTGTGTGTGTACGCGATACGTTGTCCATACGTCAACAGACGCGACGACGGGATATCCATCAGGTTCATTTAATAAGAAACACATAGCCCGATCGATCAGCTTTATATATTTACGGGAGGATACGTAATGGACATTCTGCAAGCGATGATTATGTGATCAGATGCTTTTAACGATCCGCCGCCGTCGCGGTGTGAGTTTCTAGGATCGTCAATTCCTGTCGTCGAACAACGTGTTTCCTTTTATTACCGTTTATGGCTGGTTATCGTCGTTTCAACTCTAACCGATCGAACGTTTCTCCAAGTAATTTCTCGGAGCAATAAACGCCGACGAAATTATTTAAAATTAATTGTACAATTATAATTCTGACACTGTTGGAAGACAATATGGTTGTGGCCTGTTTTTGGGAACTTGGAGGCGAATGTTATTTGCAACTCTGATAATCTATTTGGTTGTCAGAAATGTGAAAAGTATGTTAGAAAAATAAAGTCTGTATCTACGTGTTGTAAAATAGTAGAATATTATACTATATTATAATATATATAAACTACAATATACATAATATAATATATATTTTTTACGTTGTAATTATAATACCATATAATAGTACTATTACAATATTATATTGCATTATATATATTATAGTATAATATATTATTATATCATGATGTACTGATATAATATATATATATATATTTATATACTGTATATTATAATATATATACAGTATACATAATATATACGAAATATTGTATATTATATTAGTATATTGTATTATATTGTATATCATCTTATATGTATTATGTATATTGTATATTATACTGTATTATTATAATATATTATAAATATTCTAGTATATGTTATAAATATTG